ATAAGAGTGGTAATAAAGAGTATCCTTATCTTGTTCCTTTTCTCTTGAGAAATGCTTTCAGGTGTCTTTCTGCTTAGTGTTAGTATTTGGTTTTGTATGCTGTTATTATGTTTCAAGTCTCCTGCAACTAATAAGACTCTGTATACAACATCTCTGTAGCCTGTCCTATCCTGAGCCAGTCTCACTGACTCTGACACACCTACCTCCATTGCCTTAGTTACTATATCAGTTCATCTCATCCAAGGCCTTCCTCTTCTGCACAGTCCCTCCACTCTTCCGAACATGATGTCCTTCTCCAAGGATCAGTTCCTCCTGGCCACATGCCCAAAGTATATATGAGACAGAGCTTCAAAATCGTATCCTCCAAGGAGAAAGTTGATTTCACCCTCTCCAAGACAGACCTGTTTGTTTTCTTGGTAGTCCATGGTATGTTCAAGACTCTTTTCCAGCACCACAACTCAAAGGCATCAATTCTTCTTTTGTCATCCTCCAGCTTTCTGATGCATAGCAAATAATTGCAAAGACCATGGCCTAGATCAGGTGCACCTTAGTCTCTAGACTGACATCATTGCTTCTCAGTACTCTGGAGATTTACCTAATGCAATTTGTCTTTTGATTTCCTAACTGGTTTTGTATATATGAACTTAATTTATTGAGGAATTTCCCTTCTAATCCTCTTTTTTTTTTTTAACTTTTTATGTGTGTACCGTCAAATTGGATCTGACTGGTACAGGAGGCAGTTGTTCCTCCTTCAGCAGAGCATTCAGTGGATTTGAACCACGCACCTTTGGGATTGCAGTACAGTTTCCTGCCACTAGGCCACCAGAGCTCGCCCTAATCCTCTTTTATGGAGAGTTTTTGTCAGGAGAAGGTTTTGGATTTTGTCAGCTATGTTTTCTACATTGACTGAGATGATCATGTGATTATTTTCTTTTGTTTTATTATATTGCTTGATTTTCTAATGTAAAGCCATCCTTGTATCCTTAGAATTATTTTGTATTTATGTATATGTGTAATGTTAGTTGTTGTTGTTGTTGTTGTTGTTATGTGCCGTCGAGTCGCTTGCGACTCATAGCGACCCTATGTACAACAGCCCTAAACTCCACTCTGTCCTGTGCCAGTCCATGGTATTCTCAATACTCTTCTCCAGCACCACAACTCAAAGGCATCAATTCTCCTTCTATCCTCCTTGGTCATTGTCCAACTCTCTGATGCATAACAAGTGATTGCGAAGACCATGGCCTGTATCAGACGCACCTTAGTCTCCAGAGAGACACCATTGACCAAAACCCTATGTAATGTTAGTTAGGATTTTTAAAAAAAATTTATAAATGTATTAAATGAGACCAATAACAACATTAATCTATAATTTTTGTTTTTCAGTGATGTCTTTACCTGGCTCTGTTATCAGGATTATGCTAACTTTATAGAATGAATTCAAGAATATTCTTTCCTTTCCTGGAATAGTTTAAAATTAGTATCAACTAATTTCTGAATTAGTTTGGTTGAATTCTTCATTGACATCCCCTGCTTTTTCTTACATGTGTCTAAACTTTGAGGTTTTCTAAACTTCATTCTGTGAGTGAGAACTTTGCTGGGTTTAATTCTCTGAATATGAAACCTAATGTTTTAAAATATTTATAAAACTTTCTAGGTAGGCAGTGACTATTCCTTGAATATATATGATCATGCATGAAATTTATTCAGCCTCATGAGTATTTGTAATTTTATTGGCCTTTTAACTTTTCAACATTAAACAAGTATATTTACCAATGAAACTTAACAGTTATTTGGTGTCACCCTTGCTCTGTTCTAAGGAATTTTGTATGTTGGTTGTAATGGTTATAAAGTTGCAGTCCAGGTGAGTCAGAAGATTGCAGTGTGCACCTGACACCTCTGGCAGTTGTCTCACCTTGGAGCTCTCTGGGCTGTAAAGACCACTGTGAGCAGCCTTTTATCTCAGATTCTCCTGTTCCGTTCTCCCTGGCTGGAATGAAGATGTCTTCTTAGGAAACCACTAGAGCCAGAACTTCCAGTCTTCTTGCAACTCTAAATTGTTTCCAGAATAGGGCTTGAAGGTAGAACAACACCTTGTCAAATTCCAATTATGGCTGAACAGAGGTAAATGAGGTAAGGCATGCCATGGCTACTGGGCAAGGAAAATGACAGGGTGGGCATGAAAGCGGTGGCACTTCCTGGTTGTTGTTTTATCTGCTCATTGGCACTGCCTGGCCATTGTTTTTCTGCCCGTTGGTAAGGCACTTAGCAGGTGCTGAATTTTTGACTGGGCATTTTCATTCATTGTATTTGATTAAATAGGAGTAAGGTGCACTTGGTACAGGACATGATCTTTTCATCTGAGAACTGGACTGAATACAGACATGAATAAAGATAATTCAGAAGAAGAAACATTCTGCAACCAAGAGCAGATAAAGTAGATGAATGGGATCTTCTGAGAATCAAAGCCCTATGCACATCTAAAAATTTCTCCAACAGGGTAAAAAGGGAAGCCACCGACTGGGAAAAAATATTTGGTAATGACATATCAGATAAGGGACTTATATCCAGGATTTATAAAATACTTGAGCACCACAACAAGATAAAGGTAAATAATCCTATAGAAGAATGGGCACAGGATATAAACAGACACTTCTCCGAAGAAGACATTCAGATAGCTAACAAGCACTTGAAGAAATGTTCAAAATCCCTAGCTCTAAGAGAGATGCAAATTAAAACAACTATGAGATATCATCTCATCCCAGTAATAATAACAAAATTTTACAGAACAGCAGGCAACGCTGGCGAGGTTGTGGAGAAACTAGAACCCTTATTCACTGTTGGTGGGAGTGTAAAATGGTGCAACCGCTGTGGAAGGTGGTATGGCGCTTTCTCAAAAAGTTACAAATAGAGATACCATTTGACCCAGCAATTCCACTACTGGGAATATACCCCAAAGAGACCATAACTGACATCCAAGCAGATATATGTACACCCATGTTTATTCGCGGCTTTGTTCACGATAGCAAGGAGTTGGAAACAACCAACGTGCCCATCAACAAACGAATGGATAGAGAAGCTGTGGTATATTAACACAATGGAATACTACGCTACATTGAAAACCAAGGAACTCATGCAATATTACGCAAAATGGGTGACTCTGGAGGACATTATGCTGAGTGAAGTATCTCGGTCACAAAAGGACAAATACTGCATGATGCCACTGTTGTAAAACAGGACTGACCTTGGGGTTGGGGAGAGACTGAGAAAGATGGGTAAAATGATGTATTGAAACAGATGAGGGAGAAAGCTGTTTAAAAGGGATATGTGATTAGGTATTTTTGTCATGACAGGAGTCTAGAGTGAAGGCTACATGGTGGAGTGGACCTGGGGGAGGGTTATGTAAAACAGTGTAAGAATTTGTCTTTTACTTTCCCAAGAGTGTAGTATAATAGGGGGGAGGGTTGGGAGGGGAGAAAAGTGCAACAATGAATGAATGGAAATCCAAAGTCTTTTTAAATTTTTACTGAAATTAATAATAAATTTAAAAAATAAAAGGAAACATGATTACAGTAAAAATAAAAAAAGAAGAAGAAGAAACAGTGCATTTGAGTATGGTGTTAGAGAAGAGTACCGAATAGCCTATGGACTGCCAAAAGAACAAACAGATTTGGTCTTGGAGAAAGTGCCGCCAGAATGATCCTTAAAGGCAAGGATAGACAAGCTTCAGCTTACATACTGTGTGCATGTTGCTAGGAGGAGGTAATCCTTTGAAAGGGACACCATGCTTGGAAAGCTGGAATGTCAGCAAAAGAAAGGAAGACCCTCAGCCAGATGGATTGACATAGTGACTGCAGCAGTGGGCTCAAGAATGCCATAGAGGGATGATGAAGATGGTGCCGGGTAGGACTGGGTTTAGAACTGTTGTTCATAGGGTCGCTGTCAGTCTTACTCAACTCGACACCCAACAACTACACCCACTTTATCATGGGAAGTTTTCTCTAAGATAGAGAATGAAATATAAATTATTTTTTCCCTTTTTTACCAAATTCCCATCCTTCTGACATGAATTTTGAACCTCTTGTTTCCTCCTTACTCATAAGACTTTAGTTAATTCATTGTGATCATTTTCTTTCTACGTTTTTCTTTTTTTTGAGTATATATGTAGATACATGTGGCCATTTCACTATTTTTGTGTGTGTAGTACAGTGACAATGACGACATTCACAACGTTGGGTGGCCATCATCACTGTCCATTTCCAAAAGTTTTCATCTGTTTAGTAGAAACTCAGAACCCCTGAAGTTGTGATTTCCTCTTTTACCCTTTATCTTCCTCTGACAATCACTATCAAGTTTGGTTTGTCTGTATTTGCTTTTTATGTGAGTGGGATCAAGATATTTATCTTTCTGTGTCTGATTTACTACATTCAGCATAAAGTGTCCAAGATTCATTCATGTTATAACTTGTATCACACGTCATTCTGTTTTGACTGAGTGATGTACTGTTGTCTGAAGACACGTTTTAGAAGTTGTGAATATGGTTGCAGTTAACATTGTTGTACAGATGTTGTGTCAAGTCTTTTGTGTACGTATCCTGTAGTTTGGTGTTTAAGTTTAGAGGAATCACCAAATGATTCTCCACAGTGGCTGCACCGTTTTACCTTTTCTCGATCAGTGGCTAAGGGTTCCAGTGTTTCCACATCCATGCCAGTTTTTGCTTCGTATGATATGTAATGCACAGTGAGCTGCTGTTGGAGATTTTGACATTAAATCAGAGGGTTAGTTGGTTGATTTGTTTTGCTGATTGCAATAAATTTACTAAATTTTTCTTGATGTCTCCTTTAAAATAAGAAATTTTCAGTTTAAATGAACTTTCAAAAATGTATGAGACCAGTCAGCATCTGTATTTTAAATTAGCGGAAAAGAAGTTATGTTCCAGGTAAAGAACTTGCTTGCTAGGTTTTAACCATCTACTTTGAATCACAAGACTCATCACTTATAAATTAGTCTTTTTTTTGCAAATCAGCAAGGCTCACTTCAAAAACACGACCCTTCAGTCCATCAGACGCAATTTTGGTTCCTTGAGTCCTTGTGACTAATGTCTTCCCAATATTTCTTATATTGAACATTGCTGGTGCCTTTACATCATACCAATCTTTCTTAGAAAATGGATCAACCACTTTCTTCTTGGCTCCTTTTTTGCCACCTTTTGTAAGGCGCTTGTTCTTGCCGACCGCCATGGTGGTGCCGAAGGAACGAAAAGGCAAATTAGTCTTTAAAAAGCATTTTTTACCAGATGCTCTGCTAGAGAAGGAGGAACAATCTCCTCCTGTACCAGTCAGATCCGATGTGACGGTACACACACATGCAAAATAATAAAATAAATTTTTTTAGAAAAGCATTTTTTTAAGAATGTGGCCTAATGGTCCCTCTTCAGATGTCCATTTTGGTCTTTCTGCCCTGTCTTTGTAAAAATTTTTTGCTTTCTGTCCTTGATGTTATCCCACCACTCAGCTGCTCTTCAGTGGTTAGTGTTCAATGCCTTACACCTGTTCTTGGGATAGTTTTTAATTTCGGATAGACTCAAGGTTGTACATAAACTTGCTTGCTGAAAACAAGGAGGACTTGAAACGCTGCAGAAGATCAAAGACTACAACCTTCAATATAGATTACATCTCAACATCAAGAAAACAAAAATCCTCACTACCGCTGGGCCATTGGCAGCATCATGAAGGATGGAGAATGATTACAGTTGTCAGCTACTTCCTTTTGCTTGGTTCCACAGTCCACATCCTTGGTACTAGCAGTGAAGAAATCAAAAGATGAGTTACATTGAGAAAATCTGTTGTCAAAGACCTCTCCAAAGTTCTAAGGAGCAGTGATGTCACTTTAAAAGACTGAGGTGCATCAGGTCCAAGCCTTGTGGTCTTTTCAGTCACTTGCCATGCATCTCAAAGTCAGACAGTGAATAAAGATGATAGAACAAGAATCAGTGGCTTTGAGCTGTGGTGTTGAAGAACATTATCCCATGGACTGCTAAAAGAACAGGCAAATGCGTTTTGAAGAAAGTGCAGCCAGGATAGTACTTAGAAGCAAGGATGGTGAAATTTTGTCTCACATACTTTGGGAGAGGCCAGTCCCTTAGAAAAAGACATCATAGTTGGAAAGGTGTAGGGTCAGCAAAGGAGAGGAAGACTCTTCAGCATGACTGATTAACAGGGTGACCTTAACAATGGACTCAGGTATATTAAAGATGATGAGGATAGTACAGGGTAGAGCAGGGTTCAGATCCATTGTTCATAGGGTTGCTGTGAGGTATACTCCACTCAGTGGCACCCAACAACAATGGTCCAGTTTCATTTTGAGATGAAATGAAAAAATCAGTACAGTTTAAAGATGACTATTTTCCTGGAAGTGTTTTATAACACAGCAAAGCCAGACTGCACTCAATTTGAAGTATATTTCCTTATAAAATTTTCTTGGAGGATTTCTTCCCCTCAGATATGGCAGACACTGTAAATGTACCATCTTTGATCAGGTACCAGCAGGGTTGCTACAGGTACATTATTGTCTCTAGGCCTTCCTATTCTATAGATGAGGAATCGGATAGTTAAATCTTTCAGTGTCATAACTGCAGTGTTGAAGAGTAAACACATGTTCACTCTGTTCTTAAAAGCACAGTGCAGAGAATGTGTGCTTTGTATGGTCCAGGCCATTGCTGTTGTTTCCTCTCTCACTGTCCATTCCCTGGGGCAGCACTCCTGTTGCCCACACACAGAGACATGCCCATCCAGGACTCTCTCTAGGTGCTGTATGCCTGTGCACGTGCTCTTTTTTAATTTGCCCTGACTTATTTCCTTTTACAAAATATGTCTGTGAAAATACAGACAAAGGGATTTATAATCCATCTGGATTATGAGGTTAGCCTGGCCTCAGGGCAAATTCCATCCCTATCCTGCTCCTGCCACTTTCTCTCCTTTAGACAAGGAATAAGAGGCAGGCAGTGGTGGTGGCATGCACATAATCCCAGGTCAGCTCTAGATTGCTAGGAATATGTAGATATTCACAAGCTTCCTACATGATAGCTTTACCAGTAGCCTTAGATGGCTGCAATACAGGTGTGCACGTGTGTGTGTGCAAAGCTGTCAAACCATCAGCGATGGGATATGCTTTTGGCTTCTTGGGGTGCTGCCACTTGAGTGGGCCAGAGGGTTTTGGGCCTGCCTTGACCTCTGAATGAGCACTTGTGACTGACAGCCCACTTCTTTTTTTTTTTTAATTATTATTTTATTAGTTTTAATGAACATTTACAGAGATTTTGGGTTTTCATTCATTCATTGTTGCACTGTTTTCCCTACCCTCCTCCTCAGTTCATTCTTCTCCCCCACCCCCCCGAATGTCTGTTTTAATTGTCCAGTTGTCACAGTGCTTGTCAAAGCCAGTGACAGCCCACTTCTTTATCTGTGGTGACACATCTTAGTGGAGTGAATTGAAGCCTTAACCAGATAGATACCAGTTATCAGAAGCTGTAAGTAACTGGTTTTCCTCTTGATTTTTTGAAAGGCAAATTAATAAATCATGAATTTTTATTAAAGTTGGGGGAACCATCTTTTCCATCTACAGTGCTCTTCAGTGTTAGATACTTATAAAGCTGAGCATTCCCTGAAGCACAAGTTTGTATCCTGATCCGTCTCCTGGATTCGGCTCTCCTGGAGTACTTGGTCAGCACACACCCATGAGGGAGGGTGATCACCCTCAAGACCGAGGCTGTGATAATCAAGGGGAAATAGCAGCTGGATTCTAGAAGGCATACTTACCTGCTGGTTCTAACCATGAAGATGAACTTGCAGGTGGTTTGGTATGTTTGTGTGCTATTTAGAGTTGAAAGCAGAAATGTTGGGTTACCTCCTTCAGATAAATCAGGCACTCTCTCCTGGTGAGCTTTCATGAGATTACTTTACCTGTCATCTGGGAGTCTTGCAGCCCCATATGTTTCTGCTGATTGCTGGTTGCACAGTGCCATTTGTCCTGTGACTCAAGGGTTTCCATTCTTGTTCTGCCCTGTCCTCAGATGGGAAAAAGCCAGAGATGGTGAGTCTGTGAGCCTATCTTCAGGGGTGGGGGTGGCCTGCAGATATGTAACTGAGGTTACCTGTGACTTTGGTATCATGAAAAGCACCTCTGCATGCTTGGTCTCAATACACACACACACACACACACACACACACACACACACAAATGTTCATTAATTTACTGGGAATCAGTTTCACATATTGTCTGCTTTCATGGATAGACTGGGGGTGTGCACACTACTTGGGTGGTGGCTCTACCCTGGAATGGGTTTCTCTGGAAGTGTGGGTCAGGGGGAGAGGGCGAGAGAGACAAAGTCTATTGGCTTTAGTGCCCTGAGAGTTTTACCATCAGGCACATCTTGCTAGCCTCACTTTATAGGGCTTCCTAGGCTCTTTCTCAAGTCTTTTCTCTACGGTCCCACCAGCATAGGTGAGGTGTAGGTGGAGACTGGGAGGACAATCTGGGGTGCGGGAACTAGAAATAGGAAGAAGGACCAAAGAGTGAGGCTGGAGGACCAAGTGATGAGGTGGGGTTAGGAGGAGGACCAGGAAGGTCAGCTGGGCTCACTATGTGGGGAGAACTAGACAGTGGGGCAGGAAGACCAGGGTGTGGGGGCTGCCTGCCCTGTTGGATATCTGATATAGGACCTAAGGCTGCTCTGTGTCGTTTACACCTTGGTTTAAAGGCACCCTTTCTGACTTTTCCATTTTTTTCAAAATATACTACTCTTGGGATTCTCCTTGTATTAGAACATGTATCTTAGTTACTTTTCAGCTTTGAACTCTTTAGGTTCCTTTGTTCTAAACATCAGTATCTTAAAGAAAAATCATCTGTTTATGTCGGGACATAACATTGGTGAAATTAACCCTGAAGGCATTTCCAGAGGTCTCCACTGATTACGGGACAGTAGCTCAGAGAGTTTTCACTCCTCCTCTCTTTCCTTGGAACCGTCCAGGGAACAAACAGCAAAGCTGTGACCTGGGCCAAGCAGTCTTTTCCCAGGTGCCCTGTGTGGGCACGTGTGTATGCTATCGTTGGTTCTGGGAGGCTGCTTGCTGCTGTGAGGGTGCTGGTGTGTACCTGCCACACTCCTCCTCGTGCTCTCACCTTGATGTGTGTGGTGAGGACATAAGGTGCTGACAGCTAGCACCAGTACCTCTTCTTTGAGTCCTCCTCTTCTTGTCAGGACTCAGTGTCACTGTTAATCTTTATTTCCTTTGAATAAAGGAAGGGAGACGTGTATTGGGCGCTTGTATTCTCATTGACTTCAGGGTTTCTCTACAGAGTGGTGTTCTTCACCTGAGTCAGGGCGGAGGGCATGGAGCCACTGCTTCCCTCTTACACCATCTGTGCTTGCTGCTGCTTGCTGTGGAGTCAAGTCCAAGCAGGACCCTGGTGGACAGCCCTCGTCTTCTGCAGTCTGGCCACACCTTTCTTTTAGCGAGAGCCAGTATAATGCTCTCTAGGTGGGACTCAGCCGTCTTACCAAGTTCCTTAAGAGTTTCCCCAGTATTGCCCCTCACCCCTACTCATTTCTTGATTATCATTGGCATCTGTATCTCTCCTCAGTTATCAGCATTTTTAGGCCCATCAAACTTTTATCAGATGCTTCTCAGGCTCCAGGAGTAAATTCAGAGGCAGCTCATAGAACGCCTCACTCCCTGCAACCACCATCCACAGGTCTGCATATCGTGACTTCCCTGCTGGAGGAATGGGGCAGAAGCTGACTTAAAACACTTAAAACCTCCCCTGCTAAAAGGATGAGGAGGCCATGAAACTTGAAGGCTAGTTAGATGACAAGGCAGAGTACATACCTGATCCCGAAGCTGAGAAGCCAGAATGTTGTGGTGAAGGTATGGAGAATGGGAGGCTTCCCAGATTGCCGACCCTGTGACTGAGTGGGTTCCTGGGTGTGATATTTGGCAGCAGCCTCAATGAGAAGGGGAAATTGAAGCCTTCAGTGGTTGACAGTCGTAAACTACCGGGGGATCTGGAAACCCAGAGCTGTGGTCTATGACCTCTGACCTTTTTTTTTTATATAACTTTATCGTTTTTGTTGGGAGCCCGCCACATGCTCAGCAGGCACAGAGTGACCAAGGGGAGCCCTCAGGAGGTACATGCGCTCAGTGTGCTTGGCTGCTGTCTGAGAGCCCACTACTGCCTTGGA